TATTTAAGGTGGTTGTTATAAATTATTGACAAAATATTATTATTAGTATTTAACCAAAAAAACAATTAAAAGTAATTTTTTTTTTTATAGATAAAAAGTCATAAATAAAGCAAATTAATTAAGTGATAAGGCTCGTTTGCTCAGTAAGTACTTCTAGCATTGAACAGTGAAATGTAATCCTCCATCATAAAATCCTTTTCATTACTTTGAAATGTATTTAATGCAAGATTTTCAATAAGTAAATACTAAACAAATAATAGAAAACCTCTATAAACAAGTATTTAATTCTAGAGAAGAAACTTGGAAACATTGTAACTTCTTGAACTATTTTAATTTTTTTCATATATTTCTTTTTATATACTTACTTTTTTATATTCTAAAGAAAAAAAGGTCACAATGCAGAAAAATTAAAGTGTGTATTTGTGTATTTATTTATCATCAAAAGCATAAATTGTTAACAAAAAAGAACAGAGTATACATCTTTTGGAAATTTTTTTTTATTAGCAAAATGCTAATTGTTAAGGAAATGCAAATTGATAAGGAAGTTAACAGTTTTTACTTAAAAAGTAACAATCTATAAATATTTAATGAAGTATATCTTTTCAATAAAATATACTTAAAATTATAAATATTAAAAAAATTAAGGTATTTAAAAAGATATAAAGTTATATTTTTTTAACATTTCTTTTAAACATATTCTTTCAACAATATTTTTTAAACACATTTTATGATTACACTAACTAAAAACAGATTTAATTTATGGTTTCATCATGACAGTACACCACTTTACTGCCACGAACAACATTCTTGTTTTCAACAAAGCCAAGTCCCATTTAGCAAAATACACCACTTGGCCAGCAAGGTCAACACTCTTGCTGTAAACTAAGCTAAGTCACAACAATTAGAAACCATGCAAACAACATAATAACCACTTACAAACTAAACACATAACATAACACATCACAAACATAGAAACACTTATATAACCCCATATAGCCCATAAAATATAAACCCATATAACATATAAGTTATATGGGTTTATATTTTGTAAGTGTGTAAATATCTTTTATATATGAAGTTTGTTGAGGTTATATTATAACCTCAACACATATAAACATGTAATAAATAACACACAAACATAAATAAATAGATAAATTAAGAAAAATATATAAATTAGAAACTTTACAAATGCAACTTTATTTTTTTAATATTTTTTTAATGACATACCTTGTAATAGATGTTTAACAACTTGCAAAAACAAATGACAAACAAACTGGTTTTTTATATAAAAGCAAACAAATTTTTTTTTAAGAAGCAAGGGTTTTGGAGATAAACACTAACTTTATCAAGAATTTTACCTCTTGATCTTTTAAAAAAGCAACGTCTTCTAGAGTCATCATTGTCTTCTAATTTAAAAGTTACAGATTAAATACAATTGATTAAGGACTTGAATTGTGTTATTATAATAATTTTGAATTGTGTTATTATAATTATTATTATAATTGAATTGTGTTATTATAATATTATATAATATTATTATGTTGCATGAATTAAATAAATTACCTGACTTTAAAAGTTATTTTAATAATTCAAAAATGACATAAAGTTCATCCTTTACTTATCAAATAAAATTTGATAAGTAAAGGATGAACTTTATCAAATAAAAATGGAGTTATCAAATAAAAATTGTTGCTCTTATTACTAATTAAGCTGATGAAGCAACGTTTTCGATCTAATTACTGGTTAAGCAGATATTGACAGATTATTAAAATTTGAGAGTACCTCATCGTGTGAGTTCAAAAGTATAAAGAGAAGGAGCATGCTAAATCATACTTTTAATAAAACTGAAAAGCCAAGTATGGTGAAAAAATCAGTGTAAACGCTCACGAATGGGCAGCAGCAGCGTTAAGTTAAGCAATAATATAAAGTGATTTTTCGGCGTTCTTAAGTTAAGCAATAATATAAAGTGATTTTTTCTTTATAACATGAAAATGGTGAAAGCCCAAGTTTTTAAATAACTATTATCTAAGTAGGCTGTTAAGTTAGCTTCTTTTCATTTTTTTCAGGATTTTCTCTGTTAATTTTTTCCCTTTTTATTTTTGAATGTTTGTGCAATTTTTTCATTTTTTGTTTAGATTTTTTACAAATGTGTTTTTTTTAAATATCAGGAATGAGTTAAAGATTAGTTCGCTCCATGGTTTTTTTTGTTTGTTTGTAATTTGAGTTGTTTTGATAATTTATGTAAGTTTAACTAAAACTTCTCTCTTGCAATATCTTATTTAAATTGAAATATTGACTATTACTTTATTTAACTATTTTCGATTTTGAGTTAGTTAATCATTTGATAGCTCTAACACATAATGGTTAAATGGAATGGTGTGTTATTGGGAAAACTAAAAAAAAGTCTATTTAAATCAAAATAAGGGCTGGGAAAGTTACTCCTTTTATGCAGTCATAAACAATTTTTAAGTAATTTATAATACAAATTCGTTTGTTTCATTTTACTTCAAAACCAAAACACAGATCAGTTTCTGATAAAAGAAATTCATTACTTAGATCTCCTTAGATATAATGGCAACTACATTTTTCAACTCTTACATCCATGAATTTAAGCCCTTTATTACGTTTTTATTACATTTTTATTACATTGTTTATTATTACCTTTTTATTACTTGTTTATTACATTTACAATATTTACAAGTCTTGCTATGACAATAATTGTTATTTCTATTTATTTTATTGTCTGGCATTTAGACTATAACAAGCTGCACACATTTGAGCCTAATTTTTAAATAATTGCATATCGACACTATAGCATGATGGAATAGCGCACTAAGTTATAAATTTCCGATATAAATTTATATAAATAATATTAAATAATAAGATATAAATTTCCGATATAAATTTATATAAATAATATTAAATAATAAGATATAAATTTCCGATATAAATTTATATAAATAATATTAAATAATAAGATATAAATTTCCGATATAAATTTATATAAATAATATTAAATAATAAGATATAAATTTCCGATATAAATTTATATAAATAATATTAAATAATAAGATATAAATTTCCGATATAAATTTATATAAATAATATTAAATAATAAGATATAAATTTCCGATATAAATTTATATAAATAATATTAATTAATAAGATATAAATTTCCGATATAAATTTATATAAATAATATTAAATAATAAGATATAAATTTCCGATATAAATTTATATAAATAATATTAAATAATAAGATATAAATTTCCGATATAAATTTATATAAATAATATTAAATAATAAGATATAAATTTCCGATATAAATTTATATAAATATTATTAAATAATAAGATATAAATTTTCCGAGTACAAATCTTGATAAGTGCGCATCTTAAGTTTTTTTTTTTAAAATTGTTTAAACTATTGTTTATTATCATTTAAATATTTATTATCTATTTAATATATTAATTTGTATTGTACAATATTTTTAATCATGTTAGTCGTTAATACGACAGCAGATTTATACAAACTTGTTAACTTTCCAGAAATTTTATTAGTTCACCTCCTATTAATTAGTCTTTACATTTATTTCTGATTCTTACCCAATGACATCATCTAAAATATGATTATGCTATCACATCTACAAAACTATACATCATTGCACATTATTCCACACATGGACGGGATCTTAAGTAGTTGACTAGGAGTAGTAGCTCACAATGGTACATTATGTGCATTCAATCTATTTGAATGTATTCTGTAGGTCTAGTGTCTTGCAATGCATAACTATATTTGTCACACAAATATTTTAATGATATTTTTTAGTCATTATCAGTGATACCAGTAATCAAACCAAAAATTTGTATTTTTAATGTCAAATTTTTGTGATATTTTCTGAACATTTATAAAATAGGCACCCCCTTATCCTAGTTAAAGTTTTCCAAATATCTTCTCAATAGGGTCCTTAGTAAAATGTCCTATTCAAACATAGGTATGATTTGTTATAAGTAAATGTTTTACTAGTTGAACCATCCTACGATATATATGAGGAAACTCACAAGAAAGATTTTTGGTTAAATTTTTTAGACTGACGTTGTTTTTCAGGAGCCGTTTTTTGACCATATGAACCAAATTTAAATGAAAGTTCAATCTTAATCACTGTTTGATATTGTATGTTCTAGTAAAAATATCTATATATATAAATATGTAATGTTCTAGTAAAAATATCTTCATAGAGCCCTTTAACATTACCAATTTTAAAAAATTTGATGAAAATAGAAAACACTATGTTGTCATCAACCTTTTCATGGATGGATGAGTTTTTAAAGCAGCTACAGTCAGATTATAAAATACTCTTAAACAAGTTGAAGCAATATGATGCTCAATAGGTTTAGGAAAATTTGCAATTTCATTATATATAAACAGTTTTAAGATTGCATTTTTTGTCATATTAAAAAAGTTTATTAAAATCTGACCACATTTCAGTTCTTGAAATACTTTTGTAAGTAAAACATAGTTCTTAACATTTTTTCTTTTAGCCATTTGTTGCAAATAATTTTTATTAAATGAATAATGCCATACAGATAAAAAATGTAATCATTAGTACACCAAGAATTTAAAAATAAAATATTCCCAAAACTTTTTTGTACCTAAAATGTTACCTACTTGATATGTCAACTGTACTTTAACATAATTTTCTTTAACTAGGAAAATAACCTGTTTTTGAGATATAGCATTTAATGGTATTGGAATAACTCTAAAAAATCTTTAATAATTTTCATTCTAATAAAGTAAACCTTTTTATTCTATTAAAAAACACCATATTTGTTTCAAAATTTAGACTACCTGGTAAGCTGTATTTTAAATATATAAATTATATTTTATTTTAATGTTTTGTTATCATTTATTATACTTTATGCTATATAAACAATAAACAATTTTAGCACATAGTTGTCTTGTGTATCTAAGGAATAATAACAATCATTTTTAATTTTTAGAGCAACTAATAGAAGATAGAGAAACACCTTTGGTTCATAACAAACTGCTGGCAGTTATTCCAATATTGGATAAAACTTATAAAATTTATTTTGATGTGAAAGCAAACTCGTATTCTGAAGGTTGGCACAATGTTATTTGTTTCAAAATTGGTTCTGATGCGAATGCATTTGATGATAGAGTTCCAGGTGTGTGGTTTCATTACAGTGGTGATGGCAGTCTTTCTATTACTGTTCCTGGAAATGGAAATCTTACCAGTTCCTTTAAAACAGCTCCTATTCCTTCTAACATGTGGTCACAGATTGAAATAAGTCAACAGTTAGAACATTTTGTGTATGTGTATACAATAAAATTGAATGGAGAAACAGTTTTTATAGTAGAAAATGTTCAGCCAAAGTCCTATGAAAATGTTCATGTTTATGCTTCAGATCAATCATATCAAACTCAAGATGGTTTTATAAAAGATTTTGCACTTATAAATGGAAATGCAGGTATTTATAAAGAAACTGTTGCATTCTTTGATTAATGATTATAAAGTTTATTACTTTTATGCTTAGATAATAAATTAAGTTTTTAATGAAATCATCACATCAGGCATATAGAATAACATTTAGAATAGGGTTTTTTAAGTAAAATAATAAGGCTTTTTGGGAAGAAAACATTTTACCCAAACTTTTTCAATGGAATTTAGCATATGGAATTTGGCAAACGTTTTTCAAGAACAAAAAAATTTTTAGTTAAAGATTTTTAAGTTTGTCTTTAATGATTTGGCTTAAAAAAAGTCTAAGTTTATCTAATATATATAAATTTATCTAATATATATAAATTCAATTATAATTTTGTTTTAAAATTATTATATATTATAATATTATAATTTTATATATTATATATATTATATTTTATATATTATGTATATATTATGATATTATAATTTAATTAAAATATTATAATTTTGTTTTAAAATTATTGAATTATATTAGTAACATAAGTAAAGTTGAATATTTTGGTTCTGCGCCATAAGCATCGTCATTTATTTTATTTCATGAAGCAAAACACCTTAGAGACATTTGAAAATGTTAAATAAAAATTCAGTTTTTAAAATGTTTGATCATGACAGGTAAATTTATATTTTTGATAAAAGGTGCACTCCATTCTCTTTTATTTTGAGTTTTAAAGGTATATTCGGTATGATTGTTTCCATGACATAGAATTGCCAAAATCTTCTTGTAAATTGCTTTAAAAATTACTTTTATTTTTATTTTATCTTAAAATATAAATTCAATGTTTGCTTTACTAAAACTTTTTGTTACTAAAACTTTTTGTCACTAAAAATATTTGTTACTAAAACTTTTTTTTTTTGTCTTATCTTTTAAAATTACTCCAATTTGAGTTGATGTTTTAATGGAACTATTTTTGTGTAAAGTAAAGAAATAAATCTTCTTTTGTTTCAAGTTTAAATTTTTAGTGTATACCATAAGTTCTGCTTACTCAATATATGCTTTTTTATGACAAGCTAACAATTATGAAACAAATGTTTGGTTACTGTCTAATTCATTAACAAACGTTTTTAACTATTCTGTTTTTAATTTTTGCAATGGTTTTGAGTCTAATTTTTAGCAGTAGATAAAATGATGACGATGCTTTTATTGATGACATCTATGATGTTTTCCATCTTCACTAGTAGTGCTAAAGTTTTATTGAAAAAAATGTTATTTGATAACAAATTTACTAGAAAGCAAAAATTTTACTAGAAATACTAAAAAAAATTTGGGTTGGTTTTAAAAAAAGGTAGATTGCAAGGTTTTACCAAAAATCTAAGATTCTAAATCAGGTTGATGGCAACCTAGTAATGATCTATTATTTTTTAAATATAAAAAACTTTTTTAATACTAGGTAGCATTGGCACTATTATTGTAAACAATGAACTTTTGCAGTATGTGTTAGTTTGAAATCGGCTCCAACTATATGATCCAAAATATAAGACATTAGAATTATTTAAGTTTTAATAACTTAAATAAACATTATTTCACAATAAATGTGTTTTCAATTTCGCCTCCTTGCATGTTTTATAAGTTTTTTATTCTATTTAAGGCAATGATTTGTTTCCGTTCTGTTTCTTCCATTTTATTGCAATTTACTTTTTATAAAAATGTTGTTTAAAAGCTAGTATCTTTTGTAATCCTAAAGCAGATGCAGCGATGGCTGCTGCTTGTTTGAAGTACTTTACATGGCAGCTGTTATATAATATCCTCCCTTTTTAACATGTATTTCTAGAAAAGCTTCAATAAATTTACAGACTAACAAAAAGTTTTTTCATTGTGATAAACGATGGCATTATACTGATATAAGGATTGGCAAAAGAGAATGATTTTGACTGATGGGTAAAAATGAAAGCAGTTTATTTGTTTATTAAAGTTATCTACTTATTTATTTAAAAATCTTTTTAAGTTCTCCATATTACAAGAGCATATTTGGAAGATCAGTATGCCAGTCTTTTTTTATAGAGCATTCAGTATGTCAAGAGCAATATCCCATTTTTGCAGCCTTATCTTTGGGTAAGTTAAAAATAATTAGTCTTATTGAGGATATCTGGTTATAACATTGAGGTTTAACTGATCATGTATCATATGTATCAGAATATGTAGTAACCAATTTCAACATCATCATTTCAATTTCAAAAAGTTATTACTAGGTTACTTTAGAGTCACGAAAGCTGTATTCTTTTTACTAAATAACAAAAAGAGTTGTATCGCATTATCCAAGAAGGCGTGTAATAAACAACCCATGATTAAACTAAAAAATGTCTAGCATTCATTATTCTTGTTAGGAAACAATATAATCTAGGTTTAGGTCTATTCTGAGTTTTTAGATTTAAAAAGAAGTTCTTTATTGGTCATTAAAAGCCTTCTTCTTAAGAGGCTTGCAGAAGAGAACAGAGGCTTAATATAATTAAAATCTGATATTTTTTAAGTTTTTGGTGTAACATAGAGCTGTGGTGTAGAGGCTTCAAAACTGTTGGTATTGAAGAAGGCATGAACATTCAGGCTAAATGTGATTCCCCTGTGCTCTGTGATAAGACCATTATGTCATTTTAGAACATCTAAATAACTAACAAAATAAAAAAATTTACATTGTCTTTGCATTAGGCAAGTGTGCAACTTGTTCAAATCAAATTCAATACTTAATTTTAAAATAACAAAAAAAACAACAACATGGAATTAAAATGATTTTAGATTTTCTAGAGTTTTTAAAATGTCATGAGCAAATTTATCTGAACTTTTTTTGTTTCATAAGTATATATATTGTTAAATACTATCAAAGATATATAATTATGAATTTGTAACATAGAAAATATAAGCATGAATAAAAATATTTTCCACAGCTAATTAAATTTGTGAAAAATTTAAAATTTTTATTTAATGTTCTTTGACACATGTAAGTTTTGTATAGATGACATTTTATTATTATTATTATTCTTTAGAAAATGAAATTCTGCCAAACACTCTGCTTCTTCCAAAAGGTATATATATATGTATTTATATATATGTATATATGTATATATATTATGATAATTAAGTGTATGAATTAAATTTTCACACTTGTTTACAATAGTTTATTATAGTTTAATAAATTAATTATTTTGCATTACTCATAGATTCTGTTATTATGGTTAATGAAGAGATATTGAAAAAAGATAATCTAATTGCTACATTACCATTTATTAAAAAGGCATATTTTTTGTCATTCAAACTAAAACCCAGTTTTTATTTACGAGAATACCAAAATATTATTCATTTGACTACTGGAGGAAATGCAGATGAATTTGGATATAGAACTCCTAGTGTATATTTTTATTATGACACAGGAAAGCTCTCTGTTTGGACTGCAATAAATGGATATCCTAATTTAGAAATTATCACACCTGATACACTATCCTTAAATGAATGGTCCAGTATAAGAATATCTCAAGTCCGAGTTAACAATATATACTACTTCAGGGTTTATTTAAATGGAAATATAAATATTGACATCAAAAACACAGATCCACGTTCATTTAAAGATGTTAAAGTGTATATAGCAGATCCATGGTATGGAGCAGAACTTGCTACTATTAAAGATCTTAAAATATATAGTGGAAATGTAGGTAAGATAAATATAAACTTTTAAAAAACCTGCATTTTATTACCTGTGTACATTATTTTATAAATATTTTTATTATTAAATATACAAAAATGGTTATACTATAGTTTATCATAGTTGATACGCTATACGATGTAATTATACAAATAAATTTATATATATTCACAGATTTAACATATATCAGGGATTATCTTTTTCCGGATATTTATGGAAATCCAGATATTTTTTTCAACTTTTAGTTTTACCGGATATTCAAAACATTTTCAATATGTGCAAGTTGAGATATATATTTTTGTAATATATTTGGTTTTTAGTCTTTTTCCTTCATCACTCATAGAAAAAATATAAAAAGTGTTCAAAAAAAAATTAAAATAACTTAGCTAAAGGTGAAATTAAAAAGAAAATAAGGGAATAAACATTCTGGATTTTTTCCAGATATTTTATTCAAACAATTTTCCGGATTTTTAAAATATGACTAGGATGATCTATGATATAATATAATTTCATTTGTAATAATATAACTTTGTATATATTATTACAAATGTATACATGTTTAAATATATATATATATATATATATATATATATATATATATATATATATATATATATATATATATATATATATATATATATATATATATATATATATATATATATATATATATATATATATATATATATATTAAGGCTGGTCACAGTCCCACATAAATTTTTTTAAACCATTAATTTTACTAGTGGCTGCATAAAATATTGTTCCTTTTAATATAAAAATCATTTTTTGTTATGAAAGTGTTTTTGTAGCTCATTTCTATGTTCTGCCCAATTTTATTTTTAGTTTGAGTAATTTGAATAAATCTAAAACACAAAACTTCCATTACATCTATTCTGTTTTTTAATTTGTTCGATATAATACTTATTAATAATGGCATATTTCCATTGTTTTTAATGTAAACAAATATAAAAAAACGCTGAAAGCATATAATAATTTAAACAACACCAGCATACTTTATTTTTAATTGTCTAAGCTTTTATCTATTTTTTATATTTATTTATATTATTCTTATATTTTAATCTAATTGTATTTTTTTTCAAATATTTGTTTAACACAAATACTGCACGATTGAAATAAAGAAACTAATTTACAACTTGAGATCTAGTAAGAATATATCAAAATAATAATGTAAGTAATGTATAGGAAACTTTACCATACATAAACAAATTTATTTTGCAATCCAATGAATTTCCAATGCAATTAGAATTTTTATGGCGTGTGTAAAATGCTAAGTAAGACTAATATTATTCTTATCATATGCTTTATAACAATTCTTTTTTGTTAACCTACTTTTAATAGCGATTCAAATAGTTATAGAGAGCAAATAAAACAAATTCTATGAAGTCAGTTGTAAATTTTTTTTTTTTTCTGTTTATGCAAGCACATTAAAAACGTTTGAAAATGCTTTTTTAATAATCACTTATTAGAATAATTTGAAATTACAATATTTAATACACAAAAAATTCCTGAAAAATAGTATATTTAGCGATTAAAAAATAAATTAGAGAGTATAAAAGATTACTTCAAAAAGAGTATAATACTCTGAAAATATGTCTCATCTATGGGGTGTGTAAATTTGTAAAGATTATGGGAGGAGGAAAATGGTCAATAGATTGGTTGTGGGAACGGAGGTTGTTTTTTATTTAATTTTTTGTATTCAATTTTTTTCATAAGCGCACTTTAATTTTATATTTTGTTCACTTGAAAGAACAGGAGTATAAATGTTTCTACTAAACAATGTTTACAGTGACAATTCCACAAATTTTTGGTGGTGATGAGATTTAAATTTCTTTTGGCATCACAGTTAAAAAAACAATAGTTGTTACTATTGTTTAAAAGTGGTAAACAATGTATGGCATGATAATGGCAAGGGTGGCTTAAGGAACAGTTTATCTTAAGTGGCAGATGTCTAAGAAGCACCACAGAAAAAGGAGTTACTTAAAAAAAAAAGTCCTTCAATGATAATATAGAAGTGTTTTAAAAAATATGGGGTTGGCTGTCCCAATCGAGGTTGCCCGTCCCATGCAGCGTGATTGGTCTCGGTGCCCCTAACGACAGGATATAGAAAATTGTATTTTAAACAATTAACTAAAAGTTGTTATTAAACATATTGTGTGTATCATTTTCTTCATTTATGCATTCCTAAAAAATAACAGTGTGACAGTGAAACGCTTTTACTATATTATATTTGTTAAACCATATTATATTTCTATTTCATTTCTTTTTTTTCTTTTTTCTAGGGTATATACTTTAAATTAAAACTAGTGAAGTTATTTCTTCTCAATTCATCTTCGTATTCTGGTATAAATAATTAGGCAATTGCTTGAGCTATTAAACAAAGTACTGAGTACTATCTATGTTTCGAGTCAGGTTCTTTAACAAATTTAAAAATAAATAAAGTAACAAAAACTATAAAACACAAAAAACTACAGTCATCACCAAGTTCGCTAAACCTATCATTCACTTATATTTCTGTTCTTCAAAGTAATTTTTTTTCTGTTGAGTCTTATTATCTTGCAAAGTTTACCAGACCTACTTGCTCTTTGTGAGACTAATTTGAGTTCAGCTGTCTCATCTTGTGATTTTAGTGTTGATGGTTATCTTCCTTTAATTCGTAAAGACTCCAATAGTCACATGCTTCAACTGGGCATTTACATTCGTAAGAATTCACCCATTTGTCGGGAAACTAGGTTTGAATCCACAGACTACTCTTTTATGTGCTCTCGTTTTGCACCACTACACTCTATCACCTTTCTCTTTGTTCTATATCGCTCTCCTTCATCTCAAGACTGCACTCTTCTTGATGTTATTTTTGATCATATTGACCAAGTCCTCTCTCTTTATCTATCAGCCAATATTGTTGTTGTTGGTGACTTTAATGTTCATCACACTGAATTGCTTGGCTCGAGAGTCTCTCTAAAGCTATTATCTCATTCGTTTTTATCATCAGACTTCCCCTATCATCGCACATCTTACAACTACCTTAAAGCTGGCTGGTGCTCTTTCCGTGATTTTCTTCGTGATGGCCCTTGGGTAGAAATCTTTCCATTGTAATAAAACCATTGTATATGGTTCAAATGTGCTTCTTACATAACTTTGTGGATTCAAGCTGGCATGGAATTCTTTATTCCCTCTTGACAATTCCAGGTCAAGCCTCACTTTTCTCCATGGTTTTCCTCACATTGTGTTGCTGCAATTGCCAATTGAAACCATTACTTCCATATCTATCAGCGAAACAATTCTCCAGAAAACAGATGTCTGTTTATTACTACTAGGAACCATTGTAATAAGGTTTTATCTAACGCCAAAGCATGGTATTCTCAGCTCATGAAATCTCTTATTTCATCTCAAAAATTGGCTTGTGACTTCTGGAGAATCTTTAATAGTATTAATAATAAGGGCAAGTCTGTAATTCCATCTCTTTTGTATGGTTCAGACTTTGTCACCTCACCTAAAGACAAAGCTAAATTGTTTGCTTTTCATAAATATCATCTCTTGATTCCAATAGTTGAGTTATACCTAAAAAGCTGTCATACAGGTTGATCCATTGCTTGACAACCGTATCACTCCAGCTTCCACTGTATCTAAAGTGATTTCCTGCTTAAACTCTTCTACAGCTTGCGACCCAGACAACATACCTGTTATAGTCTTGCAGAAGTGTTCTCCGGAACTGTCGTCTATCCTTTTAAAACTATTTAACAAATGCTTATCAGAGTCTTGTTTTCCAGCCTGCTGGAAAGCAGCATCTGTTATCCCTATTTTTTAAAATTCTGGAGAATCAGGATAGAAATTGCTTATAATAGGAAGAAGACTAATAGAACTACTGTCCCATTAGTCTTCTTCCTATCATAAGCAAGGTTTTCAAATCTTTAATTAACAAACACTTAATCTTTCATCTTGAATCTAATAACTTACTTTCTGATCATCAATATGGATTTCGATCCTTCTACGTCTAGTGCTAAATGTTGATTTTTAACATTTTTTTGCTCTTCGATCAGCGCCTTTGGTGTTTCAAGTCAGAGTGTTATATGTAAAGCACCTACAGATTCATCTAAAAAAATGAGTTAGTTTTGTGTCTTCTTTTATGTGACTATATTAGGTTGTCTATCTCAATTTATGACTTCCAGCAGCATTTGTTATCTTTTAATAATGTTAGAGCATAAAAAATAATGTTTCAGCACAAATACTCAAAAAGAAACAGTTTTCTTCTTTCTCTTTCTTTTGCTATTGAACTTGTTTGCTGCAAGAAAAGTGTCTAGTGTCTTCTTCTCTTTGTGGGATTTGTTGATCAGCTCCTAGTTAAAAATAAAATATATTTGTTGAAATTACCTATCTACAATAGGTTTAAACATGATAATTTTTTTAAAGTTGTACATAAATGATTATCCAACTTTCTCACTGCAATCATTAACTACTTCCAGATTTTTGACAAATTGTTTAAACTCCAGATAATAATCATTCAGGTTACATGTCTCAACTGGGGTTTTTAACCACTGTAACTCTGTCTTCCCTGGTTCAAGAGATGAAATATTAACCTACCCTGTTCATTTATCAGTGAAACCAAGCTAGGAGGATTATCCTGACAAAAATCAAGATTCTTCAACAATTCAAAATCTACCTGCTGTCTGTGTACAACATAATTCTCAGGTCTTGACATGGAATACAGCTTCTTGGCAATCTTGTCATGGTCATCATGGTCATGGTCACCTCTTCATCAGCTAAAGTCATTAAAACAACAGTAGGATCAATGTACCAGGTGTGTCTTTTCTTTGAGTCAATATCAGATTTTGATCATATTGACCAAGAAATTATTTTACAATATCATCTGCCACAGTGCTTTCATTTTCTAAGAAATAACCTTTAGGTAGCAAAATACTAAAAAGAATAACTTTTATTTAACCTTTACTATGTTTTAAATAATAAGAATATAAAAATTAAAGTAAAAAAAAAACTGAGAGGGAGTAATTGCTGGAATTTCCGCTCTGAGAAACCATTCAGTGTAGAACACTGCAATGAAGAAAGCCATATCTTTGATTTCGTTCTTCTCATGGGCTTTGAGTTTGGGAATGTTATCCATTAGAAGGAACATCTTAATAAAGTATATTCCTTTCATCAAAAACCGAGCATGACTTACAGGTGCTGGTTTTTGGAGTCTGTAATGCACATCTCCAGATAGTACCATTACTGTGAGTTCAGCTAACTCAAGATAATTACACCTGCATCCATTCTAAACATAAATACTTATTTTTATAATAAGCAATTAATCAAAATTGAATTTTTACATTATGTTTTGACTTTTTGCAACATTTAAAAATGCCATAGAAAATTAAGATTCATTCTTTACATTTTCAATTTTAATATCTGATATTAATTATTTGTTTATTGTGCAAAGCACCAGGAGCTATGCACATTAAATAAGTTATTATTATTCTAAGCTGCGATTTACGGAATAATGGACTTTTATTTATTTGAAAGCTGTTTAAACTACTTTAAACAACATTAAAATTAGTTTTATGATTTAAAGTACTGACCTTCTTCATCTTTTCCATCTTTAAAAGGTTTTCGAAGTTCTCCAAAGCTTTCTTGAATTGATCCTGCAACCAGTTGTCAGTAATATCCTCAATCTTGATTCTGTTTAGTACAGTAGAATCATGATCCAAAGAGTTCCAAACAAGCTTAAGCTTTTTAAAAAGAGGATTGTCTGGTCCATTTGTGCTACTGCTGGGATAGATGTTCCAACAATGATCAATGTGTCTTTCATACACATGATGTCTGCATGCTAATAGAAGTAAAGGTCTATCAACCTCTTTAGCTAGTCTTAGAATTAGTAGTATCAAAAACACATTTAGGAAACTTGTTCGTAATTTTAAATTGGCTAAGAAGTTAAATCTATTTGCTTAGAGTTTGGATTTAGTTTTCTAAGATGTAGTTAGTACTGCAGAACATCTTTGCCATTTGGAAGCTTATTGCTTGGGAGAGTCTCTCTAGTTTTCTTCCCAAGAAACATTTCTGACATGTTTCTAGTACGTTTTATCTTTTTCTTTGAAGGCATTTTTTTTTTTTTTAGCTATCTGAAAAAATATGTATGTAGGTATAAAGTATAGATGTTTACTGAAAATATAGTTATAATAACATTGCTAAACATCAAGTATTAAAGAAAGACAACCTTATATGGTCATATTAAAGAGGAAAAACCTTAACACTGACTTTTTATAGATAATTCTGTAGCTGGTTTAAACACTTTATCAAAGAGCAAAAAAATGTAAAAATTCAACATTTTCTTTAAATATAGTTATTTAATTGACCCATTATGCAAACAAATAATGCCTAACATTGAATTTTAATTTAATTCTTATGCATAAAATTGTCTAAACAAATTTATTTTTTCAAAATTGGACCATGGGAAGAGTCCTAACAATTTGAATGAAAAAAGAGTCGAAAACGCCCTAAAAATGATCTTTGGGCCCATTGCGGGGACTGATAGGGTGGTCCAAATGTGATAAAAATTTTTTTTTAGTAATATCAATAGTGGGGCACCATATAAAAAGCAATGTTAGTTGAAATTTTAAAAAGTCATTCTTTTAAAACACCCTAATATATATATATATATATATATATACATATATATACATATATATCTGTATTTATGCGTGCTTGTATATTATCACACATGTATATGATTAAAAATGCGCATATATACAATTATGTAAATATTTTTCTAATAGCAGCTGTTGTGGATATTGAGAGTAACATACTAAAAAACTTGCTCTAAATTGCAATTTTTTAGTATTTTCATCCTTGAAAATTGGTACTTTTTAATATGATGTTTTAACACATTCAACAAGCTTTATTTCATTTTTTTCGAGTCAAAGTTCATTGGTTCTCTAATTATTAACTTTGATCAAGACATTAAAAGTTTAACTAAATTTTTTTATATAAGTTTTATGGTTAGAATATTTTAAAATAAATTTAAATAAATTTAGAAACAATACTAAAAATTTACTAAATATAGTTAATAGCACTTTTAAACATGAATATAGAACAACCTACATACTTTTGAAAGGATAATTTATTTAATTATTGTTTATTAGTTTATAACCTAAAATTATAAAGGAAGTAAATAGAATCATTTGGTCTATCTAAATGTCCAGCTTTGAAAGTACCTAAAATTATTTTATTTTACTTTTATATTCTCTATTTTCATTTAAAGCAAAAATAACTTATATCTTAAAAGTTTTTTTTTTATATTGTAAATTTTTATTAAATTTATTATATAAGATATCTTACTAAATGTGCAAGTTAAACAGATTTTGTGACATGTTTATGACATAAGTGAAAAGTATTCATAAAGGTTCAAAAATTGCATTTAATTTTTATAAACAATGGTATTAAAGAACAACTTAAAGGCTAATTTTAATTATTTAGATCATTTTTTATAACATGAAAAAGTTGAAAGCCCAAGTTTTTCAAGAACTGTTATATAAGCAGGCTGTTGAGTTACCTTTTTTTTCATGTTTTGAATGTTTTTCAGGAAATTCTTTGTTAAGTTTTTCCTTTTATATTTGAATTTTTTTTTTTATTTTTTCTTATTTTTTCAAATTATTTTACAAATTTTTTTTCTAAATATCAGGAATGAGTTGAATATTATTTTTTTTATTATTTTTAATATTATTTTTTCATCGTTTTTTTTTTTTTTAATTTGAGTTGTTTTTGATAATTCACATAAATTTGACTAAAACTACTCTTTTGCGATATCTTATTTAAATTATATTGAAATATTGACCCTTATTTTATTGGTCATTTAAAAGAATATTAAACTAAGTAAATACAACAGATATATTAGTATTATTAATGTTGTTTATAACAAATTTTATTTTTAAGCATGTCAATAAAATATTAGGTCAGATGTTTTGGTCTGTGAACTTTTCATAGTCATTAGGCCAATGATCTTAATAAATTAATGTATTAGGGCTATCTGGAATATTATCTCAAGATATAGCACTTATCTATTTTTTATTCTTTTTATACCGTATTCATTAAATCTAATTATTTAGCTTTAGTAAGAAAGCAAATTTAATATACATAATCCCAAAACTTATCGCTTATTAAATTAAAATACTACGTTCTTTTCTTGGAATGCGCCATTTTATAAATTATTAATTTGAAAGTTATAAAATTAAGGCTTGCAGTTTTTTTTTTAAACCTGTATGTTTACTTGGCCTACCACTTTAGTAGGCCATGGTTGGTCTATAAAGGTCATTGGGTAATCTAATAATAAAATATATATATATATATATATATATATATATATATATATATATATATATATATATATATATATATATATATATATATATATATATATATATATATATATATATTTAAAAATATAAACTAGTTAGTGAGCTGTGTTTTTGCTAATTTTTTTTTTTAATGTTTTTTCATAATTACTTTTAGTTTACCCATTAAAAACAATGCACAATTTTAGCACATAGTTGTTTTATTTTTTTATTTTTGAATATCTAAAAAATAAAAACAATCATTATTAATTTTTAGAGCAACTAATAGAAGATAGAGAAACACCTTTGGTTCATAACAAACTGTTGGCAGTTATTCCAATATTGGATAAAACTTATAAAATTTATTTTGATGTGAAAGCAAACTCGTATTCTGAAGGTTGGCACAATGTTATTTGTTTCAAAATTGGTTCTGATGCGAATGCATTTGATGATAGAGTTCCAGGTGTGTGGTTTCATTACAGTGGTGATGGCAGTCTTTCTATTACTGTTCCTGGAAATGGAAATCTTAACAGTTCCTTTAAAACAGCTCCTATTCCTTCTAACATGTGGTCACATATTGAAATCAGTCAACAGTTAGAACATTTTGTGTATGTGTATACAATAAAATTGAATGGAGAAACAGTTTTTATAGTAGAAAATGTTCAGCCAAAGTCCTATGAAAATGTTCATGTTTATGCTTCAGATCAATCATATCAAACTCAAGATAGTTTTATAAAAGATTTTGCACTTATAAATGGAAATGCAGGTATTTATAAAGAAACTGTTGCATTCTTTGATTAATGATTATAAAGTTTATTACTTTTATGCTTAGATAACAATTTACTTTTTTAACAATTTAACAATTTACGTTTGGTAACGTCTAGCCAGATTTTATTGGGTGTTGTTAGTTGACCTAATATAATAAAAACTTTAGATGATTTCTTGTTTTTAGCACTCTTAAGTCTTCTTTTATTGACTTCTTTTTAAAATCGTTTCATAGAGTTTCTTTAATCTTCTGTTAGTTTTTGATTATTTTTTTTTTATTTATTTTTTTATTCGGAAAAAAATTGGTATTTTGCTTTTGTATGCTTCCCTAGTTGATTGTGGTTTTTTCAAATTTATTAGATTTTTAAGTATTCAAAAGTACTAGCATAAGCTTATGTTTTGCTTTCTACTTTCAGTTTTTTACTTTCAGTTTTGTAGGTTTAATTGGTATGATTGTTTTTATGACATGATGGATTCGGAAAAAAATTTCTTGGAAATTGCTTTTAAAAAGTTTTTTATTTTTGTCTTTCTTAACATATCAGTTCAATGTTTGTTTTATCAGTAATTTAACCTTTTTTTTTACAGGGGTGGGACCGCAAAATGTGAACACTTTTCTGATTGTAATAATTAATTTTCTGTTAAATATGAACTATTTTAAAGAAGAATGTCCAATGGTTGGACATTCTTATTTAAAATAGTTCATATTTAACAACTCTTTAGACACTTTCTGATGAGTGAGAGAGTACAACTACATCTAACGAGAAAATAGTTATAATAAAACAAAAACGTTCACATTTTGCGGTCCCACCCCTGTATATATTTGTCTCATCTTTTACAGTTGCTCCTGCTTGAGATAATTTTTTTATAAAACTATTTTTGTCTTATGTGAAAAAATAAATCTCTTTTTATTTCAAGTTTTATATTTAGTTTAAAGCATAAGTTCTGCTCACTCAAAATGTTTGTTTATAAAAAGCTAACAATGATGCAACAAATGTCTGGTGACTGTCTAAGTCATTAACAAATATATTTATTTATTTTATTTTCAATATTTGAAATAATTATTAGAGTCTAATTTTCAGTAGGGTTTCCAAAAAACGGCATTTATAAATAACTACAGTTTTGGTTTTAATAAAAAAAAAAAAAGCTGCGAAATTGTGGTTTTTGGTTTTCCTTTTTAAATAATAAAACTTATGTAAGTTTATCTTGCATTGTTTATTTAAAAGGTTTTTTGATCAAATTGTTCTAATATAATAATAATGATAATAATAATAACAATAATAATAATAATAATAATAATAATATTAATAATATTTGTTTGCATTAAAATAAAATACATTAAAATACAAAAGGGTGAGACAGGTAATCACAAGATTACGCTTATGTAACACCTGAACAAAGGCAATTTAATACAATACGCAACTTTGTTGTAAGTCGTAAGTTTCTAGTTTTTTTTTAATATGAATAATGACGATGAATCAACAATGTGAGCAGGCAATGAGTTCCATATTTTTACAATTCTTTCACTGAAAAAAAATCTACGTGTATCGTTAGTACATTTATTGCGTGAAACTAATTTTTTCGCATGACTTCTAGTGGGGTAATGAGAATTGGAAAATGTAAAGAAAGCGGAAAAAGGAAGGTCAACAAGATTGTTTATAATTTTGTAGGTCATAAAAAGATCAAGTTTGATTCTGCGGTGTTCAAGAGAATCAAGTTTTAAAACAGATAGTCTTGATGTGTAATCAGTGTAAGAAATATGGCATCTTTTACATGTAATTCTGCTGAAGTATCTTTGGACGTTTTTGATGCAACGTATATCTTTAAGAAGGTAAGGACTCCACACTGGGGTACAAAATTCTAAGATTGGGCGCACATAGACTGTAGGCTTTTAAGAGGAGATTTGAATCATTACTGATAAAGGTTTTAAAAAGTAAATACAGACAGGCGTAAGCTTTTTTGGCAATACGAGAACAGTGTTTAGAAAATTTTGTGTCAGAAGATACCGTAATACCAATATCTTCAATACAGTTAACAGTCCTTATCGGGGTGTCCAGGCAAAAGGAATATGAATGAACAGTCAAAGACTTACTTCCAAAACATAAGTGGAAACATTTTTTTTAATGCTATTCTTTGTTGCCAGTAAGCTGTCCAATCAGAGAACTTTTTTAATGATATTTTGAGGTCAGCATTGTTATTTTCGTCTCTCGTTTGTTACAATTTGCTATCGTCAGCAAACAGCTTTATTCGACAATCACCTTCAATACAAGAAACTACATCATTAATAAATAATAAGAATAAAGTCGAAGCCAACACAGTTCATAGGGGTATTCCACTCTTTACAGGTACGTAGTTTGAGTAAGAATTATCAATGCAAACTTATTGCAGGCTGTCAAGTCATCATTTTTTTCATTTTTTTCATTTTTTTTGGGTTCCTTTTTTTTTCTTTATTTTTTTTCATTTTTTTGTTAGTTTCTGTCATTTTTTCATTTTTTTCTTGAATTTTTTACATTTTAAAGTTTTTTTTAAATACTTAGAATTGCTGTTTTTAATATTTTAAAGTTGTTTTAGACGTTATGTTACTTAGTTTTTTATTTAACTTTCAAAACTATTTTATAATAACAGTTACAATCTTTTATGTTCACATTTTAATTTTAATTATTCATTTGTATTGCTAAATTGGTGTTGTTATTTTAAAAAATAAATCATTCTATAGTGTAGAATTAGTAAAGTTAGTGGTTTTTATATTTAGTTTTTAGTATATTTATCAATAGATTACATAGTATAATGGTTAAGTGGAATGATGTGTGGTTGGAAAAGTTAGACAAAAATCTAGTGAAAATCCAATTATGGGCTGAAAAAAGAAACTCTGAATATGCTATCTGTAAGCTATGCAAAAGTGATTTAAAATTCAATTCAATTGGTTTCCAAGCACTATATCAGCATTCTTCAAAACCTAAACATAATTCAGTGTCTGATCTAAGATTTTCAAAAACTGCTCGTCATTTATATGTAGATTCTAACAAAAACTCGATTGGGGGAGAAAAATTTATACAATTAGAGTTCTCTATAAATGAAAAAATTTCTGCTGCAGAAGCCATGTGACTTTTTAAAGTGGCAGAGAATGATCTTGCTTTAAGACATTGTGACAACACACCAATATTGTTCCAAAGAATGTTTCCAGATAGTAAAATAAGTCAAGTTTTACTATGAGTTGGCAAAAAGCTTCATATATTTTGCAAGATGGCCTTGGGCCATTGTTGGAAAAGCGTTTATGTAATAGTATCACGTTAAGTCAAGGTGCATTCACTTTAATGTTTGATGAAACAACTACTTCACAACAAAGAAAACAAATGGATCTTTTATGTCGTTTTTGGTCAGAAGACGAAAACCAAGTTGTTACAAAATATTTAACATCGCTGTTTTTTGGCAGAGCAACAGCAGAAGATGTCAAAACAATGCTAGCAGGTTTACGTCATAATGAAAGGTTTTATTTACCATGGGATCGTCTTTATAATATTTCAGCAGATGGTCCTAATATTAACAAAGCCATTTGGAGATTGTTAAATGCTGATCTTCATAGCAATGGTTTTAATGGCTTGTTACCATTTGTAAGTTGCACTTTGCACACAGTGCATAATGCTTTTCGAAAAGCAATTAAAGTTGTCGGTGAGGATGCTAAGCAGCTTGCATTTGTTTTACATACCTGGTTCAAAGTAATGATTTGAGTAATTTTATACAGTAGAATCCCATTAATTCGGACCCTAGATAAGTTGGATTTTGTAAGTCGGACAGATTTTCAATTCCCCTTGAGCTTTCTATACATACAAAAAGCTAAATTATTTGGACATTCGCTAAGTCGGGCTATTTATCTATTCCCTGTGAGAGTCCAACTTAACGGGATTTTACTGCAGTTAATACTAAAAGAGAATTTTTTTTTTTACCTATGAAGTTATTTTTCTTACATTATTATTATTTTTTATTCTAAAAGTCTATTATACGACTAGCTATATATTTTGATTCAAAGAAGTCTTAAGGAAACTGAAAATGTAATTAAAGTTATTCTTCTTCTTATTTTTTTTGAATTATTACATATAATAGAGAATTGATTATATTAGGAGTTACTTGTGTCCATCAAATTTCTTTTTGGTTTAGCTCCCTTGTTTGAGAAATACTTGACAATATTTCAAAATGAAGGACCACTTGCTCATATTTTATTTTATAAAATGAATAATCTTTTAATATCTTTAATGAAACATTTCCTTCAACCGACTGCTGTTAATGGAAAGCTTACCAAAGATCTTTTAAAAATTGATTCTTCCGATTCAACTATCCACCTTGCTTTAAATAAAATGGACTTTGGTGAGGAAGCTAAAAACCAGGTAATTTTTGATAGGTACACATTTGCTACATTTACCAGTTGCACATTTGCTACCTGGTAAATGTGTACTTGGTAATTATGTATAAGTAAGTGTACTAGGCAATATAAATTATTTTGTTTATTGTATTAATCATTAGATATTTTATTATTGAAAATTAAGTTTTTTTTATTTATTTTCATTGATGTAGATTTTCAATATAATTATGTTTTAGGTGAACAAAATATCATGTAAAAAAAAAGATTTGTCTGCTTACAGCAAATGAGAGATGGATATATATCTGTTGTGAAACATTTGCAAAAAAAACTTCCACTTAATTCGCAGATATTAAAAGATATGACTTGTTTGGGTGCTTAAATGAGATCAGAACCTTGGACTGTTTATGCAATTGGGCAAATAGCAGTTACGATGCCACATGTAATTACGGAAAGGGAGGTGAATATTTAAATAAATTTATATTAAATAACTGTAATATATATATATATATATATATATATATATATATATATATATATATATATATATATATATATATATATATATATATATATATATATATATACAGTGGCGGCCAAAAGTCCTGGAACATATTTTATGTTATGAAATCAATATATTTGTGTGAAAA